TATATACAAAATTAACATAAATCTTGTTTTACAGTTTATGTACAAAATAAAAAATGGACTATCTCCGCCAATATTTCAACCCTATTTTAGAGAAAAAAGTCATAAATACCCTACTAGATTCTCATATAACAACTTTGTCATCCCAAAATTTACATTAAAGTTAAATTCATACTCAATCCAACACCGCGGACCTTATTTGTGGAAAATTTTTCCCCAAATTGTTACTATCAAAAAAAATACACTTGAACAGTTCAAATCTGAATCAAAGCGTTTTTTATTATCTATGGACTTTTCTTTTTCTTTTTTAGTAAAAAATTAAACTAGCACAATTTATTTCTTTTATTTGTTTTTACTTTTAGTTGTTCTAAATGTATTTTACTAAACGAATTTATATATAAACAGTTATATCAATTGTAAAACGTAGTTTTTCACATTTTTACATATTTTATCACAAACAATTTATCACGATTTTATATATTTTGTTGTAAAAAACGACCTGTAATGAAGTCACTATGGGGCTCGGTGATAAGACAAACTGATCTCTTCTTCTTGCTTTAGCCATTTGTTTTATTATTTATGTTATTTTATAAATTGTAATTTTCTACGGCAAAATTGAATAAAAAAAAAAAAAAAAAAAAGTCCATTTCAATGACAAATCAAAATTTGGCAAAACTATTTTATTCCATAAGTAAGGACCGCGATGATAAATAATTAGTTGTTCAAAAGTTAGTTTGGCAGAAAGGTTCTTTTAGATTTTTTCTTTTGCGAAGATTGTATTTGTTTATGGGTTTTACATTATAAAGGTTTATAAATATATCAAAAAATAAATGATTTTTACATTTAAAGATGAAACATAAAGTATTATAAACATTTAGTTCGTATACATTTAAGGGTTTCATTTCTCTCAGAAGTAGTTTTTAAATTTGAAAAACGATTTACAAAATTAGTTAAGCGAGCTGCGTGTTTCTGATGCTAATAAAGAGATTTAAGTTTAGTTTTGTGCGCGCTTACCCATACAATATTTGCATAATTTAAATGTCAGTGGATAAACGAATAATATAGTTGTTTTAATTGTTGTCTATTTAAAATATGTCGAACTTGATATATAATTCCAATACTTTAAACAACTTTCAAGGAGATATTATCGATTTGTTGTTTCCAGGATAAGGTTTCGTCTACAAGAACTCCGAGAAGTTTTGTAATTTTTTCCTTTTTAGTATTGTATTTTCAATGAAGAGGTTGGGCAGTGTATTTGGTAAACATTTTTTTCTGGATGTTGGGTAAAAAAGTGTCCATTTTGTTTTATCAATATTGAGGGACAATTTTTTTTTCTTAAACCAATATGAGATTTTATTTAATTCTTGTGTCATATAATCAAAAAGTGTATTTATGTTTTCATGAGATTGGAATAGGTTTGTGTCATCAGCAAAAATTGTAGTGGTTAAGTTAGAGGCTTTGTTGAGGTCATTTATATATATTAATAATAATAATAGACCCAACTATGGATCCCTGTGGGACACCACATGTTACATTTATTAAAAAAAGGCAAAGAAGAGTCTTGGATATTAATGAACCAGCTTAAGGATTTATCTTTAATTACATAGAGTTCTAATTTTTTTTAATAGAATGTCGTGATCAACAATACCAAAAGCTTTAGAAAAATCGATGAAAACTCCTAGGGTATAATGAGAATTTTTTTAAGAATTAGAAATGCTGCGTGTTAGTCAAAGTATAGCGTGTTTAGTATAATAGTTTCTCTGGAAGCCAAATTGATTATTATATAAAAGTTTAGTATTAACAAAATAATTGTAGACTCTGTTATACATTATTCTTTCTAGTACTTTAAAGAAAACTGGAAGAACTCAAATAGGACAATAATTTGTAATGTCACTATGGTCACCTGATTAATAAATAGGAAAATCTTTTGCTACTTCTAGAGAGTCTGGAAAGAATACTTGAGTAATAGAGGCTTTACAAATTTTAAAGAATACTTGAGTAATACAGGCTTTACAAATTTTAAAGAGTATATCTATCAAAACTTCAAAGGATTCTTTTATAATATTTCCATTGATGCAATTAGCCCCATTCTAAACATTCTAAACTGAGTGCGCAACAACGACAGATTTTAGGTAACCGTCAAAATAGTATTATACTCCATTATTTTTTGGCTTTATATACTTTTTGGCTCATCCCTAATCTTAACTTTTTAATTAAGGGATTGTCCATAAATTACGCAACGCTAAATTACACTGATGAACAAAACAAAAAAGATCAAAATTATCCCTTGCAGAGTCTTATGCTAAATAAATAATCAAAATAGCTCATTAAGTTTAATAAAAAAAAGTATATATATATATATATATATATATTTAGCGTTGCGTAATTTATGGAAGATCCCTTAGCGTTTTATAGTTTATAGTTTTTATTGGTTTAAAACCTTCTTAGTTCTGCTATTTGAAAAGCGTTGCATACAAACGTCTGTAAGCGTAAACGTTTTTAGCATATGTTGAGTTAGCAGGCAGTGTATGGAACAATTGTGAGTAGTAAATTTATAAAAATAAAAAAACTTTTGAATTTTATGTTAACAATTAAAATTCTTTTTTCAATATTATTATTTTTATTGCAATAAATATTACTATAATATTATAGATATATACTATTATAAACTTTTTGCTATAAATATTACTATAAATACAGCAAGATTGAAAAGTTTCAATCTAGCTGTATTTGACTTTAATTCCCCAAAACGACACTGATGACAACCACTGATCTATCAATGATATGTGGTTAAGGGAAAAACAAACCTAATTAAAAATCTCTCATAAACTGTAGGTATGCTGAAAAGGTGCGCATCATAATTTTTTTGTTCTTAAAGCAATTTTTAAAAATAGTCATTTTACGTAAAAATATTATAGTAAACAAATAATAGGTATAGAAATGATCAGTGTGGAATAGATAAGTATAGAAACGGTAGATTTGGTAAAGAACCGTCAGAAAGATCGGTGTGGAATAGACTTACAAAGACTCGTATTTTCACGGGTCAGATCTGCTAGTACTTAAATAATAAGGTTAAAAGTTTAAAAAGTTCTCCACCAAGAAGTAATCCACTGTTAAACTGTTAAGAGTCGTAGCTTTCTCATAAAGTACCATTTTGAATAATTTGGAAACTATTGGATCATAATGACAATGAGAAACATTGAAAAACAATTCATGAAAACGATCACAAATAACATTACTTACGCAACAATTAAACTTGGAACAAGTACAACAGACACATTTGACAAATTTTGCAGAATCAAAACAGCCGATATGATCAAAGTCGCGTTGAGAATAACCATAAATGAAATGCAGCAACAGCATGATAACGACATCAAAAACTTACGTGAGCAAATTAAAACACATCCAGTTTGCACGAAAATTTCCATATAGATTAAAAAAAGAATGATGAATCTAATGCAAAGGAGAACCTTTTTTAAATTTTACACAACTTTATAGTTCTCAATGTTTAAAAACGTTAAGGTCGATTTAGTTAAAAGAAAAACTTTTTTAAAAAAAGTTCCCCCTGAAAAAGGCAAATATAGCCTATGCTCTCTCTAAATCAAATATTTATTTATGTTTTCTTGAAGATTTGATACTTATGATTTTTGTTTAAAAATAATGTATGCATCATATGCTTTTTTTTGCGGTTTTATGACGTTTTTTGTTTTGATTTTTGCGTTTATTTACTAAATTATAAATATATTTTTGCACTTGCTTTTTGAAATTTGACTTAAATAGTAGCTAAATAGGACGGTTCATTTTATGAAAATTATATATAACTGCTTTAAATCGTCTAGAAATCTTGGTTTTGTTCATTCCATCATTTTTGTTTGTTTTCAAAATAAAAAAACTTCTTATTCACATCCTTATTTGTGTACTAAAAATGAAATTGAAATTGAAATTCTTAAAATGTTAATAAATTAAAAAAAAAAAATAATCTAAATTTTTTAAATTCATTCTCTAGATTGATCTAGACTCTGAAATGTCAATCAAAACAAAATGTTTATCAAAACTGTAAGTTTTGATAAACATTTCAGAGTCCAATCTATTGTTAGGTACGCGAATATCACGTTTTATGGAGCCGAAAAAAGTGCTAAATTTCTGTGCCACTTTTTTTGAACTTTTTTTTAAGTTGCGCCAGAGAAATGCTTTTTTGTGGCATTTTTTTAAGAAATGTATATTAATTTAGATCATTTTTGTAAAATAGAAAGGTGGAGCTTGATTTTAATGTCGTATTTATGTGCGTTTGACACATTTTGATTTGACTTTATTGATGTTGAAAATTTAGTTGCTGTTCTCGTATCAAATATCGTATCAAAAGAATTTTGGTATTTTTTTCAAAACTATTAGGATAATTTTTTTTATACATTACCTAAGCACCTGCCAAATTTCAGAAAAAAATATTTAGTCGCAGATACCATAAAAAGCTTCGCACTATTGGTACCTAAAATCCCTTTTTTTGAAATCTGTATTGAGGGAGGGGGAGGTATTAGATTTAGAATATCATAGCAATAGTACATGGGTCATATATCGGACCCATGTGGGCTGTTTTATGGCCCCTATGAAGAAAAGCTATCTGTTTCCCATAAAAATTTGTCTGTGGTTTATTAATGGGTCCTATGAGGGCCTATATAGTTAGCCAAAATTAGACCAAACAAACTCCTATGTTTTTGTTTTATTTACTTTGACCTAATAAACTAAACTTTTACGTTCTCATATATATATATATATATATATATATATATATATATATATATATATATATATATATATATATATATATATATATATATATATATATATATATATATATATATATATATATATATATATATATATATATATATATATATATATATATATATATATTTTAGGTAAAAACAATATGCTGAGTATAATATATATTTCTATTAATGTAAATATTATATTATATAAGAAAATGTATAACAAAATTAAAACTTGTTTTGTTGTTTTCTTGCTTCGCCACGCTTAGCTCTATGGCCATCTCGATCGCGAGATCCAATAAGCCATTTTGCAAGGGGCAATTCAAAACTTTTTATCGTACATGTCGACGTCAGGTTGTTAAGCTTTAAGGCTTCCATAAAAATAATACATTTTCAATAGCTAATAATATTTAAATACACAATCTTATTATATGCTTTAAAAATATGAACCATAAGGGTTCTTATTAAACATAACAATAGAGTGCACAATTTTATTATTGAATAAACAAAATTTACGTCATGTACTCATTTGTATTTAATAGCTAGCAAAATTGCAGAGAAATATGACCAAAATTTATTTAAAACTATGAATACTCACTTGAAATCGCTCAGTTCCCTTTAACACTCTTTTTGACTCCCCTCGATGGCAATGCTAAAATTAGAAAAGGTTAAATAAAGTTTCTTAAGAAATTTATAGGTATTTTTAGTGATGCTAATATACGGTCCCTTAATGCTACAATTTGCTATATCTCTTGCAAATTAAGGGGCCATCCATAATGTACGTACGCAGGTATTGTGGAAGAGGGTTTCCCAAAAACGTGCAAACGCGTACAAGGGGTGAGGGGTGTTAAAGACAGTGAGTATGTACGCAGTTTGACTACATCTCCTAAACTTGGTTTTATTTTTTTTTTAAACATTGAGTTTCATATGTGTAACAAATTGAACCCGTCATTTCGAAAAGGGCTTAAGTCACACTTTTTTCAAATTTCACTTTTTAATGCCATTTTATTTATTCAAGTGTTTTACATATTCCCTATAAAGAAGAAACATTTTTATATGCCACAAGTCAACTTTAAATGCAAATAAAAATTAAAGTCTGTTTTAAAATGGCGCAAGTCCCGGTCTAATGCTTTTTTCATGTGAAACGATGTGCAACTGTAGTGACGTAATCTCACTTTATTTGCAACAAAAATGGAAAAACGCGAGCTTGCTAAAAATACATATAGATCTAGAAAAAGAGTGTCTGGTATAAGAAAAAGTAGAAATTATAAACACGAAAAAATAAAAAAAGCTAAACTTGCTGGAGAAGCTCATAAAAACCACAAAGGAAATTATGTAGCACCAAGGCAAACGGGTGCTTTTTTCAGATTAGTTTTTTGTTCTATATTATAGAATATGACTATACTCGTTCTCAAATTTTTGCTTATTTACTCATAATTTACCACCAATAATTAAAGGTAAAACATCTTGATATATAAATGTTATAATACTACCTCAATAATTCTATTTATTTACAGATGTAATTCAAAGTGTAAGGAGTTTGTATCTGAAAATGTTATAGAAAGTACAATTCAGTTTTTTAACAAATTTGATAATAAAAATGGCCAAGACACATACTTGCAGTCATTGATTGAAAAGAAGGAAATTAAGAGAAGACGGTTTAGATCTGAAGAACCTAAGGAAAAAGAATTTTCTTTTGTTTATCACATTAAGATTGAAGGTGTGATAAAAAAACGTATGCAGAAAAGCTTTTTGCAGTAAGCATGGAATTTCTATGAAACAAGTTAGACGTTTATGCATTTTATTTTAAAAAAATAAGCAGCCTATTGATCACAGAGGTAAATCTCAGGTATCACGATGCAACGCATTACCTGGAGATACATTAACAAAAGTACGTGAGCATATCGAATCACTTCCTGTTAAATAAGCACTACTATAGTAAAGATGCATTATCTTATTATTTGGATGAAAAACTCAATGTGAAAACTATGCACACGTTATACGCACAAAAATATCTAGATTATCCTATAAATATAAGTTCTAACTTAATTAATTCCAAGAAAAGTTTAGTTAACTATGGCTGTATGAGTTTTGCATATATGACTTTAAAACTGGTAAATCAGTATTTTATTCATATTGTGAAGGAGTTGTTAACAAAGAGTGTACTGTGATTATATTTGTGCTGGATTATATTTTTATGTGCTGGATTTATGTGCTTGATTTATGTGCTGGATTTATGTGCTGGATTTATGTGCTGGATTTGTGTGCACTTTTATGTGCTGGATTATATTTTTAAAAATATTTGCAACAAAGCCAAAAAACTGCACCTAATTTTTGATGGTTGTGCAGGCCAAAACAGAAATCATGTCATGGTCCTAATACTTTTATCACTGGTAGCTGCACTAGATATCATTATAAATGAGATACAATATTACATACCAAACGAGGTCACTCATTCTTGCCGAACTATAAAATGTTTGGAACAGCAGAGCGACATATTCAAAAAAATGACCGGATTTACACACCAACAGAGTATGAAAATCTTATAGCTGAAGCAAGCAAAAAACTTAAAATTAGAAGGCCCAAAACTGAAGATATTATTAATGTAAAAAAATGGTGGCCAAACTGTTATAAGAAACTTGTGCTATCTGTGGATTCATATGGAAAAGGAGTACCCAAGGACAAAAAAGTAACTTTCAGTATTTCTAAAGTGTCACATTTCACATGCTCTAAGACCACACCAGGTTTAGTAATAACACGTGAATCCATAGATTATTTAGCCAGTTTTGATTTTCAGCTATTACAAAGAATGGGTACAAGGCCAACCTTACCATTAAGTAGTATTCCTACATATGTTGGAAAATTGCTTATCAATGAAAAAAAGATATCAGATTTAAAAAAAATAGAAAAATATATTCCATGTTCTATAGAAGAGTACCAAAACTTCTATACAAAGGTTTTTACTTGGCCAACAACTTTGGCAAACAATGAATCTCATAAAATATTAGATGATTAACTAACAATAATTGTTTTTATGTATTAATAAATCGTTACTATTCTGATAATTTTCGGGTTTTTATATACAAAATAGTGTTCATTTCGAAAAAGACGTTGTCCATAAATTTAATAAAGTATATGTGTTATATGTTGCTTTTTTTATTTATTTTTTTTATTATTTTTTTTTTTCCTTTAAATTTTCACAACTAAATATTAATTACAAATTTTTTTTACTGCAATATTGTAAAGAAACTGTACTTCCTAAACAAAAAAAAAAAAATACATTTTACAAAATACCGTTAGGTATCGGAAGCAATAATTAGGTATGCTATGACTTGATAAGATGTATGCTATGACTTGTTGTTCTAGGGAACTCGTAGAAGACTGAGATTAGTCTTATCATCGAGAACCTTGAGGTATTGCGTAAAGCACACATATAAACAATGTGATTCTCATTAAAGAAATGTTTTACATGTTATTATTGCAAACTTTTTTTTCTTTTTTTTTTAATTGAACTATGTTTTGTGTAAGTGTTGAGGTTTATAATAATAATACTAGCTTTATTTGTTAAACAAAAATTTACATTTTCCATATGTATTTAATTGCTGATTATTTTAATTTGAGCGTAAATTTTGATTTACCATCAGAACTATAAGATTTCTAGGTAATTATCCATATTAAGAACATTATTTTTGAGTTTCGACTTTAAAGAAGTTGTATTGTCTGGGAGAGAAATCGAGGTATAATTCGGAATTAATTTGTTGAACAAATATGGGCCACGATAAGAAATAGAAAGTTATGAACTTTTTTTTTTTTCAGGGGTACAATAAAGTTACCAGTTGCTCTTGTGTTAAATTTGTTGATATTAGATTGAAAGAAGTTTCCTGTGAATCAGTTTGGAACTAATCCTAGTTTGTATTTAAGCATGAACAAAATGTTAGCGTAGATATCAATTTGGTAAATGTTTAGAGCTTTCATTTCTTTTAATAGGGGTTTAGCGTGGGTCAGTTTGTTTTTATGATTTATTATTCTAGAAGCATGTTTTTGTCGTCAATAAAGATATATTAATTTTGTCTTGTGTGTGCTTCCCCAAGCTATGTTGGCATATGTGAGATAACTATGTATAAAGGAAAAGTAAAGAAGTTTTAGGTTTTTTTGCGATAAAAATGGTCTAGCTTTAAAAAGTATACCAATACTTTTAGATATTTTAGTGTTGATGGCATTTATATGAGCTGTCAATAAAACATTTTTGTCAATAATAATTGTTTGGGTTCTTTCAATTTTTTTGTAGTCAATACTTAGTGTCGGTACACTTGATGGTAGTTTGTTCTTCTGTTTCTTTGAGTGAAATAAAATATATTTAGTTTTTTGCGCGTTTAATGATAACTTGTTAGCACTGAACCATGTTTTAAGATTTTGAAGTTCAAAGTTGACTTTATCAAAGAGGTCATTGATAGAGGTAGATGAATAGAACAGATTGGTATCATCTGCAAACATTATACAATCGAGATTTGTAGAGGCTTTAGGAAGATTGTTAATGTAGATAAGGAATAATAAAGGTGTAAGAATAGATCCCTGGGGGACACCGCATTTGATTTTTAATAACTCCGTATTAGTGATACCGTCTATAATAACACAATGTTGCCTGTTATTTAAATAATTAGTGAACCATTTATTAGTTTGATTTTTTATACCGTATTTTCTCATTTTTTCGAGGAGAATTTTATGGTTGACAGTATCGAAAGCTTTTGTAAGATCGATAAAAACTCTCAATACAAATTTTCCTTTATCAAATGACGAGCTAATGCTGTCCATTAGGTCTAAGGTTGCATGTTCCGTAGAATGATTAGTTTGAAAGCCGTATTGACATTCAATTAGAATTTTATTGTCTGCTAAATATTTATAAAGTCGGTTGTACATTATTCTTTCCAGGAGGAAAACACTGGAAGAATTGAGATAGGTCTATAATTGGTTAGCAATAGGTTTTATAATAAATAAAACTTTAAAACTTAAGTATGACTTTTATTTATCTACTTTTATATTCATTTTCATTAGCACCATAGACTTATTTTTGTTGATCCTGAAAAGTTTGAATAAATGAATTTGTGCCCATTTCGAAATGACGGGTTAAATTAGAGTTGTATTTTTTTTTCTGACTTCAGTCACAATTTTTTTTAATAATCTCTCTTAATAAAAAAAATGAGGAGAGAAAAAAATCAAATTCATTAGAAAAAAAAAAATAACGCGTACGTACGCGGGGGGGAGGGGGTGATCTTTAAAAAGGAACATGTTCGTACAATGGGGAGGGGGTCTTAAATCAGTGGTTTTACTGCGTACGTACTTTATAGATGCCCCCTAAGATAAAAAAAGACTGGATTATCTAGACAGTCTAAATAGTCTAAGTTTGAGAGGTAGTAATGGTCAATCAATGTAGTACATAAAAGTAAATATTGAAACCAACTGCATCATGCTAAAATTCGAGCTGAGATTTGCCAAAGACAAGCATCCTAGTGCCAAAAAGTGGATGAAAAAGATATAAGAAAGTTAGAGAGCAAGCTTTCAAAACTGAGTTTAAATGAATTATAAACTCATTCAAAAACTTTTCCAACAACTAACTATATGATTTAGAAGACTTCATGTTAGGGAGAGTTGTTGGGAATACACTATACCACGAATGATACAATCAAAACACGTGCAAATGTTTTGTATAATACAAATTTGTATAGTTGTATAATTTTATTTTTTATTAACGTGCTTTGTATAGTAGAAAAAGATGATTAAAAAAAAACGGTTTTATATACACCACTTACTGGAAAGATGATGAAACCGATATTGAAGCTCTTGACTATTGTATTAAAAAGATACAACTTGCTGCTGATGTTGTTTCTGGAAAGTTAAATGTTTTTAAATGAATTTAAAAAATTACCGCAAGTTTTGTATATTGTGTTATTGTATTCTACTTAAAAAAAATACTGCAAGTGTTGTGAGTTGCCAAACACATACTGCAAGTGTTGTAACTTGCAAAAAAATTTACTGAAGTGTCGTGACTTGCACCAACACACAGCAAGTGTTGTGATTTGCTAAAAACATATTACAAGTGTTCTGATATGTTAAAATGTTTTGATAGATTGCTCTGGCTTACCTTAATGTGGTTTCTATCGTTAAAAATTATTATATAGTATTATCATTTATGGAATTTATTATTTCAATCATTTAAAGCCAAGATAATATTTATAAAGATAGTCATCTTTAGAATAACATGAATTACTGTTTTTTGACAATATTACCCCAATTATATTTTAATAATTCTTTATTTTGAGAAAACTTTATTTACTGATATTAATTTTTGACTCATTGATAAGTTACAGTCCCTCAATAAAGGTTTTAGTGTATTTTAGCTAATTTGATCTGCAATTAATTAAAAAATATGTTTTAAAAATGATATGACTAATATATGAATATTATGCAAATAATGACGCCAATCTTTACTTTACTACTTAAAACTACTTTACTTACTTTACTACTTAAACTTTATTTTACTACTTAAAGTATCACTTTAAGTAGTAAAATTCGTGCAGCCGTGGCGCAGTGGTTAGAGTACTGGCTCAGAACCCAGAGGTCCGAGGTTCGACGCCAGCTCCAGCCAAAAAAGCGACACTGGTACGGAAGGAGGCGTGAACTTCCTATTAAATGCCCTCCCGCGGTGCTCTATGATAAGACCGTAAGGACTTCTGGGAGCACCTTAATACATACAAAAAAAAAAAAAAAAAGTTCACCTGGGGGGCTGCCAGATATTACAGTTGAATAAGAGTAGAATTTTCTTTTTCAATAGAAGCAGCTAGTATAAATTTTTTTATTATCAATTACCAATTATTATCAATTGAACTGATATTTGTTCATTTTGTTGCCATTATTTGTTATTCTCTTCAAAACAGGTTTTAGAGTTTTTGTATATATACCCTCGTCAAAGATGTTTTATGAAATTATACAGATTATTATTTGCACTTAAGTTTATCTCATTTCCAACTGCATCCAAAATGTTAGGATTAGCTAAGTTCAAGTTTTCTTGTATATAGATATCAATTTTTTTCATGTTTTAACTAACTAAATAAAAATTTAAATTTCATTTATAAAATCTTTTAAATAGGTATTTTAAGATGTATAAATATTAAAACAAGTTTGTAACACAAATATAGCCTTGCTGGGACCCAATTCTTACATAACTATTTAAAATGAAACACATATAATGTTTTCGCCACATAAAATCGGATACGTCATTTAACTTTTAAAAATCATTATTAGAGACAACGCGGACATTCGCGGAATATAAACTAAATTTATATTCATAATGTACATATTGAATAATGCATTTCAAGTCTCAAATTTTTGGACCGCTTCGGACCGCAAAAGTATTTGATTATATAAGTGAAATTTTACATAAAAGAAGTTCTTCAAATACGTGATTTACGTGAATACGTATTTGAAGAACTTCTTTTAGTTAAAATTTAATGAAATTAAAAATTAAAAGAAGTTCGTGAAATACGTGACGACGTATTTGAAATGGTTTTAAATGACACGTCATTTGAAATCCTTTTATTTGACATAACTTACATACAAAATAGTAGTCTAATAGTTCATTTGAAAGATAATACTTAATTTTATTAAATTATGTAATAAAAAGAGAGCTTTAAAATTAACATCTATCCCATGCTTATAAGTAACACAAAAAATATTATTAAAAAAAAAGTTCAAAAAACTTTTTTTTAAAATAAACAAAGCATTTTATTCTACAGCTTAGAAGCATATGGCATAATATTTATACAAAAATATATACATTTTATAAAAGCTGAATGTTTAAGCAATAAAAAGGTATATATTAATGTAAATTTTAAAAATGTATTTTTTTACTTTTGTCCGCCAACCACTGTGCGCAATAATTAAAATAGTTTGAGAAAGTTTTTTCATATTAAGGGCCGCCGACCCACTGTGATGGCTTTTAAAAAATATATATATATTTTTAATTTTTTTACGTTCATATGTATGACAAAACGATTCTTCGCAAAAAAAATCAAAGAGATAGGAGAATCGAAACAAGAGCCCTAGAAGCCTGGACCATAAGAAATTGAATTTTGCATGAAATATGCATCAGGGGTGTCCAACAGTAATCATCTCTGCATGGCCACGTGAATTTTCTATATAAAGAAAACTTTTTCATATTTTTAATATGAAAATCTTCATATTACTAAGAATAAATCCTAAATACAAATGAGCATGATAAATGCAGGCCATATATGTTCTTGGTGGATAACTTGAAATTTCATTAATATAAACTTTGCTGGTAGAATTATTCACATTAGTGGATAATTCTAACAGCAGATAAGAGCACACCATCAAATGAAACTCGAGTTATTTTTGTTGAGGTAAGTGAGGTATGAAATTGTGTATTGTAGAAAGAGAATGGTATCTCTCTTTAAAATTAAAGTTTTTTAGTGTCAATATGTTATCTTAAAATAGTAAAGTATAAAACCAACTTGTTCAAAAGTCATTAGCTGTTAAAACAATAAAAAAAAAACTTTTTGCATTTAGAGTAAATATTTATGCCAAATGGCCCACTACTTAAATAGTGTTTTCTCAAAAACCATGTTATAAATTGATCTGAAATTTTCAAAACATGCTTTTCTCATGCATATGTACAAAATTAAAAAGTTTCAGCAAAATTTGATCCTTTGCTCCACTAAGTTTCTTTAAAAAAAAAACGGTCAGGGATTTATTAATTTTTTTTTTTATTAACTTTTCTATTTAAGTCTTTTTTTTTTTTTTTTCCAGATCATACACAGCTTATTAGGATCCTCGCCCCGTCAATCCTAGCGTTGTACTTTGGAAGCGCATGGAGCTAATCACTTCTTAAATTTATGTAAATATAATAATCATAAAAAGTATATAATAATTTACTCCTTATTACTATAAAAGAGTTAAACCGTTATATAGTGATGAATTGTTAATCGTTAAATTATTATGTAGCGATGAAGCGTTATATAGCGATTATCCTTAAAGAAATAAAACTCGAATAAAAATTAGCCATAAACAGTTTTGCATATACACATTTTTTAAATTATTTATAAATTTTTAATATTTATTAATTTTTAAGATGGAAAACTAAATGTGAATAACGCTGAGGGCCCAGCTAGCTCAGTATTAGACAATAAAAACTTAACCCAAAAAAACCGCCATATAAAAGCTAACTTTAGGATTTTGCTACCCCATTTCTTATAAAGTTTGGCTTTTATGGATAAATCATACCTTCTTTAGTCGCTTTTGACACAGCTTAGTAGTCCTTCAGTGCTATAGTACTGAATAAATATATTATATATTATCAAGCTTCCTAGGAACATTTAAAACTAATCTTTGTTTATGATCATACGAAATTAATATTTATGTATTTAGAAACATATGATTACCTCAAGTAAATTAAGTTTAGTTTAAAGCTAATAAACACACAACCTTGCATACTACAGCTAAAGTTTTAAATAATAAAAAACAATATTATCATTGCTTAACTTTTCCCTTTTCATAAAGGTATTTAGCAATTGATTCACAAACATTTTTTCCTGTTCCATTGTTCCCAGCAGTAGAAACTGTGTTGGGTTGAGCCAGACCGTCAACATTATTATGATGCCTTAGCCATTCTATTATCATAACGTTGTAATAATATTTACAAATGCTGTGAAGCGTGACGCAAGTATTATTAAATCTTGTAGCAAAGTTTAGTTCACATTCCATACGATGCCGCATTAACCGGGGCTCAAAAGTGAAACTGTGCCAGGCCCCAAAAAAATAGGGTTCCAGCAAGGACCCCTGATTTTTAAATATATACGTCTTTGCAATGGTGGCAATGTTGGCGTCTTAATCATTACTGCAAGGACTTAAAAATGTATAAAATATCCAGCTTTTTAATACATAAAATGATATGGCTGAGCGAAATAACAAGGATTGTATGTTATTCTGATTTTGTAGTTAGTTGGTTTTAGGATTTTTAGTTTACTTTGTCATATATACGTCGACTTCAGCCTTATACTCACGTAATGATGTCGACTTCAGCCTTATACTCACGTAATGATGTCGACTTCAGCCTTATACTCACGTAAACGTAAAAATTTTAGAGTTTATGTATAAAACAAAATGTTGACTGTCTCCAAAAATTTTAAAACTTTATTTGAAGAAATACACTATAAATATTCTACAAGATTTTCCATAAACAACTTTGTTGTACCTAAATCTTATTCAAAACTGAGTTCTTTTTTGATTCAGAATCGCGGGCCATTTTTGTGGAAAAGTTGCCCAAACATTGTTGTCGAGAAGAATATTTTACAAAATCAGTTTAAAATTAAATCAAAGTGGTGTTTATTACAGATGTTGATTTATTTTGTTTCTTTTAAAATAGATCAATAAAATCATCTAAAAAACAAAAAATCAACTAAAAACAATGTTATTAATTTAAGTTAATCTTAGAATTAATTACTCTGTAAGTTCAAAACTTAATTAAATAATTACTGACATTAATATCTATCATTATTCCCATTTTTTTTTGTTTTGTTTTGTTTGTTTGTTTTTTGCTTTATCTAATTTATTTGTGGTATTACTATAAATTAAGACGATCTTATTTTAATGTAACACGGTACTTGACGATAAGACAAAAACAATGCCTCCTGCCATTAATTTTGTTTGTAAATTATTGTAGGTTATAAAATTTCTAAATTAAGAGTAAAATATAATCTTCAATATATATATATATATATATATATATATATATATATATATATATATATATATATATATATATATATATATATATATATATATATATATATATATATATATATATACATTTTTACTTTTCAATTTTATAGAATTTATTTTTCAAATTGATTAAAAGGCTGAAAGAGCATAATTTATGTTATGAACATAATATGAGCTATGTTATGTTGCTGCAAAAGTAACTTTTGAAGTGAAGAACTATAAGTGAAAAATATTCCCATAACTATTTTTTTTAATTTAGTTTATCATTCAAAAAGTTATTTTTGCTGCACAAATAATTTTTTATATAAAAAATTAAAACGAAAAATACTTGCACAGTTAATTTTTTGCTTTAGGTCAGTTCGTCAATATGTCAATCTGACCGAGCATTATGTAGGAATTGAAAGAAAAAAAATTCTATAAAAGATATTCCTGATCAAAATATTGCAGACTAAAATTTTTAAAAACCAAAATAGCAACAAAAAACAATATAAGGTACTGCTCTCTAAACTAATTTTCTTTCAAGTTGAAAAATGATGAAATTTATTATTCACCATTAACTCGATTTATTTATTCACCATTAACTGGAAAGATATTATCTTCTTTTAGAAGTTATTCAGAAGAAATAGACAATATAAGAATGGAAACTTTTTTGGGGTTTTTGAAAATCCTTTTAAAATTAGACCCATTCCTTGCTAAATACAATAACCGGTAATTTGTTCTAGTTTTGTAAGTGGTTCTGGAAAAAACAGAAAAGTTACCATTGCCTTAGCCGGACATAATGGTCAGCAAGAGAAATTTATATTAAAATTTTAGGTACAGAGTACAGTTTCCTTTAGGCCCTATAATCAATTTTTCTAGATAAAAATGAAAAACTTCAAACACAAAATGGAGGAATTAGAATTTTATAAGGATCAAAAATATTCGATATTGCTTTTAAGACAAAGTTTTGGCGCCATGTTAAAATTTAATGGTACTTGTACCAAACTTCAGAAAACTTAACTCTTGGTGTCAAATTTTTTTTTGTTCCTTTATTTCACCATAAAATATGAAAATTTATTATAATAAATTATAAACTCACATAATTAAGGTTAGGTGTCACTTGTATAATTAAAAACTATTTAATGGAGTGGCATCTAAAAAAACGACAAAAAAAAAAAATAACTAGTAAATAAAACTTAGAAAGAGTTTAAAAAGAATAATAAAAAACTTAAAAAAAAAGAAAAGAAAAAACAAAGGAAACTAACATAAAAACATAAAAAACAAAAGAAAATTTAAAAAAACTTAGCATTGGTAAATAATGATAATATAAATAATAGCAATAATAATAATAACTAGCAGTAAGCAACCCGTAATACGGGTTATTAGTAATTAAATAATTGCTTACGGTTACCAACAAAAAAGACTACGTTAACATCCGTAAAGTTCTATTTGAGATCTGTTACAACACAGCAGGTACCATAAAAAGAAAGTCAAGTAAAGCCTTCCAATGCCTAAAAAAAGGAACGAAAAATAATTACAAAGTATTATTTGCATTTTATTGTTGATAGAATGAAGATATAACGACTTAAAAAAATTGCTGTAATAGCCCAGTTCTATCAACACAAAACACATTAACAATAGCGCATAGCATAAGATATTTGTAAGCACACATTACTATGTTTCTTCAAAATGATTAAAAAAAAAAAGATTATATAAAGGCTAGACAACTTAACGTAGTAAATAACGTAATAACGTATAACACCACAACTTAAGATATTTTATCAACTAAAATACTTGAGCTAAAAAGATTTTATTGATTACAATGTTGAACAATTTTATCCTAAAATACCAAGCAGCTCATAAAATTTTTTATATACATGGTCGTTATCAATTGTGGCATTAATAAAACTTATATAATTACTTTTTTTTAAACTAAAAAGTAATTATATAAGTTTTATTGATGCTCCATGCACTAACTCTCTTTCAACTCTTATCTAAGAGTAAACAAAATTATTTTTACCTTTATTATGTAAAGCTCCAGCTTCTCTTTAACTGTCAACTAATGATTAATAGAGTAAATTTCATATCATTAAATTTACAAAATTAAAACCATGTTTCAACAGTAAGCAAACTAATCAAGTGATAACAAAGGCAACTAAAAAAAAAAGAACATAATTACGTTTGAATTTATAAAAAAATTTAAAATCATTTAAATTTAAAACTATTTGACTTAAATTGTTTTAAAGTGTTTAAAATAAAATCAAATAAACACACATTAACACCGCTTGACATTGAATTCTGGCAAGTATGTTTTCTGCTCGCCGAGCAGCATTTCTTATATTTCAACAACTTTTTTTTTAATTTTATTTTAGGTGCTCCAAGAAGTCCTCAAGGTCTTATCACAGAGCACCATGAATAAGCATTTAATAGAAAGCTCACGCCTCCTTAGATTTTTATTTTTCGATTAAAGGTTGTCTATCAAAAATAAAAATAAAAATTTATTTACATCAATAAATTGTAATTTAACAAAGAATCTAGACAACAATACATAATCTAAAAGTGTAAAAAATTAAGTAATATCACTCAATATATTTTACTCCAAAGTAATTAAAAAAAACCTATTAAATCTAATAAAAATATTAAGTAAAAAAATATAGCAGACTTACTAAAATCAGTACCAGTTCTACTGCCTAAAAACATTTATTATTAGCCCTTCTAATATTAATAAAAAAATAACAACAAAGTGATCTGAAGTTACTAAAAATCACTTCACCTATTTTTTTTGTTTAAGTTAATTGTCCAACTAAAAGTCTATAACTATAATACTGAGATAATGTAACGTGATTTCTAATCAATGTAGCACGTTCAGGGTTGTAAACCAATTGATTATGCCAACCAGCATCACCCCTTAGAAAAAATAAAGAACAAACCATAGGCTCTAATTTGGCAGACATACTTGATATATTTTAAGAGAATGACCTCTTGTGAAAATAACAACTTCACTGGAAGTAGGTGGAGCACTATCTTCACCAAAAAATGCAACTTCATTATGTGAACGGAGATTATAGTGACATCTATCTTGCCCTTTTTTCTCCCTATTTCAGTTCAAAGTACATGCTGCTTGCCTAGCAGGATATCTAGCATTCGGTTGATTATTAATTTCGTCCTGCCTCAGCCTATTTCTTGCATTTCTGTGACGACTATTTTCAACTTGCCTAATCACACTGTCCTCATTTTGATTTAAATTATTCATGGCTTGCCATGCAGCATATCTAGCATTGTGTTGATTATTAATTTCATCCCGCCTCAGCCCATTTCTTGCATTTCTGCGACGATTATTTTCAACTTGCCTAATAATATTTCCATCATTTTCTAAACTAATAGCCACTTCTAGCCTTATATCATCCATTTAAACTTCACTTTTAATTGATAGTAGTAACAAAAAATCTTAAAAGAATCTTGAAGATTGTGATTTTTTTTTTTACTTCTCTAAATTGCACACACACAAAGAATAATTTTTAAAACATTACATAGGAAATTTTCATTTAAAATAAACCAAATTATACAACAATATTGTGAGTTTTTTATAAAAACATTTTTTTAAATATATCCGTTAAAAGATGTTTAAACAAAAAATAAACTTATAAATATAATGTAAATAAAAAAGTTAACCAATAGTAATAAAAAAAATAATAATAAAAAATTTAATGATAAAGGGTACTGTTAATACAAAAAAAAGAAGACAAAAAATAAAAAGTAAAGTATTTGTAAACCGCTTTTAGTAAACTTTAATACTACTTCTATAAAAAAATTGTATAAAAAACATGCAAATATTTTAACCTTCACAAACAATGACTGTTCAAAAGTTGTAGTTTAATTCATTTTTCTAAATTCTAAAGAAAAAAAAAATTTTAACAGCATCACTGAAATGCCAACAATATAATAAGCAACATGACAAAGTTTATCAAAGATTAATTATCTGCTTTTTTATTACTTAATCTTTTTTCCAATATTTTATATTATTTATTACACATTAAAATCAGAAGATTAAATTTATTAAAGCTTAACATAAGTTAAAAGCTATAAACACTAAATTATTAAATTCAAAACAATCAAAAGAAATAAAATTTGCTGGAAATCATCTAATTAGTTTAAAATTATAACTTAAAAATATTACAAATTTAAATGTGATTTTTGTTATAATTAATAAATTGCTGCAGTACATTTTTTCAAAAATGATTAACTGATATGGTATATATTCGAAGCAATATAATAGCCATGTAATATTGTGAATCAAAAATTAAAGTAATAAAAACTATAAATAATAATCTAAACAAATACTAAAAAAATAAAAACAAACAATTTAGAATATATATTTTTTTAATGAAAATAAAAACCAAGGAAAAAACAGCAACAAAAAAATTAATATTAAAAAAATTAATACTAAAAAAGTTAATATCTTCACTGATTGAATATATTAAAAAATTGTTGCTATTTTTTACTTGGTGCCTCCCAGCACCCCTGTATGGATGAGCCCTCCATTTGAAAGAGGGCTATTCCATACCATTATTACTGCAACATTTGTTAATGGACCTCTCAGAGTGGTCCTGGGTGCTGGGAGCAATATAGTCTGTAGCTGCTCCAATTTAGATCTAAAGAAAAAATAATAATATAATAAAAAATAGATATTTGCATTAAAAATAATAAAATGAAAACTCCTAATATAGAAAAATTAAAAAAAAAAAACGTAGTAAAACCCTTTTAAGCAAACTTCAATATTATTTATTTGAAAAAAATATTAGTAAAAATTTTTAAAAAATTCACTAAACTTAACAATATTTTGTTCTTCTATACCACATAAATACATCATTTGATAAATAAAAAATGTAACAAATAAGTAAATAAGAAAAAAATTACATACAAAAAAAAGAAATCATTGTACCTGATAAAGCTGATGTGATTTACCAGAGTAGTAGTAGTAGTTGGCTTTTAATGAAACTAAATATTAATTTTAGTGAATGATTAAATGCAGTGAGGTCTAATAATGAAATTAACTATGTATCATTTTTAACAGTAGACAACAACTTGAAGGTAAACCAAATGTATATCAACTCAAAAGATTACAAAAAAGCAACATCACAACAACAATAGCATTCACCATAAGTTCATATAATATGCATATATCAGTAACAACATTACACAAAATGTTATTAAAATACATTATGTATTTTAAGAGTAATTATTAATAAAGGCTTGAAAACACCTAGACCTAAAGCAGTAACAGTTTGAAACAAAACACTGCTTTGTAACCCTTTTAAAAGGTTAGCCAGCCAAGTCACTTACTGCAAAGGGCCTTTGCAGTAAGTGACTTGGCTGGCAAGGTTGACAAATCTTGCTTAACACGTTTACCAATTCACAGCACTTTGAAAACATATATAAACATATTTATACACTTTTATAAAACAATTATATAACTTATATTAACAAATACACAAACAATAAAAAAACATGTTACATTATTATAAAAACACATTGATAAAAAAAGCTATAAAGCACATTTTACAATATACACATAATTATCAAAAAAGCAATGCAAACAATAAACATATAACTTGAATTGTGCAAACAAAAATTTTAAAAATGGCATGAAAAAATTTTAAAAGATTCAAAGTAAACAAAGTATAAATATTTATATACAAACAATACTCTTTACCTTTTTCTTTCATAAGAACTGTAGTTCTCATAACAAAAATTTAATCTTTACAAACAATAACATGTGACATGTCAGTAGTGGCACGAAATTTCAATTTATTTTTCTAAATTTTCTAAAAAAGAGCAAAAACAGTTAATAGCATCACAGAAATTTCATGGTAGTAATAACCAATTTTATTGAAATTAGTATAACTTTTTTGTTGCATTAGTATAACGTTTTTGTTGCATAAAAAAATAATTAGACCTTATCCTTACCTCTATGATAGAGTTTTTTAAAAGGAAGATAGAGTCTATCTTCCTTTTAAAAAATAGAAGATATGCTCAATAAAAACTGCTAGAAAAAAATAAAGCCAAAAGAAAAACTAAAACAAACAAAATGTAAACGATTTAAAAAATTAAAAGGAGTGATCCTTTTTATTTTATTTTTAATAAAAAATATTATGTATAAATTGCGAAACTATTTTCAATGCTTATATGATCTTAACGATGATTATTATAATATGATCTTAACGATGATTATTTATCTTAATATGATTCTTTATGTAATATTTCTAAACTAATCTTAATATTAATTCAATTCTAAAGGTAAAAAGTTTTAACTCGGTTGAAAGATCTTCCTCTAATAACCGCGTGCATTTTAAGAACGTTCAGAAAAGTTCAGAAAGTAACTAATAAGCCTAGTAACTAATTAAAACTGCTTTAAAAACGAAAGCGAAACGACATTGAACATTGAACATTGAATTTTTACAGTATTCATATTTAGAGATAATATTAATAATAATAATAATAATAATAAACATTACAAATCACAGCTATAAAATAATAACTTAAACAAATAAATATAACTAATGAAAAAAATATGACAGTAGTTAAAAAAGTAAACATGACAAATTGTAAAGATTATAACATTAACTCTTTTGAAATATGTGACATCACTTTGTAAAGGTTGCCTTAAATATTTAAGAATGCAAGATTCTCAAGCATTATTCTTAGGCGGTACAAGCATTAAGATACAAAAAAGAAGATGTGTTAGGTATGAGTTAGTGAAAGTAAAGACAGAATGAAGTGGTTTGAAGTAGGAGTGACAATTTTAAAATTATACTCATTTTCCCAAACAGAGACAAGTTGAAAATGTGCCTTAATAAAAAGGCTTCAGCTTACAAATTTGCAGAGAGAAAATTTGGTTTTTTTAATTGTTTTTCAAATATGACCGTTCTTGTAATTATTGCGGTTACCAAATCTTTGTGTACTATTTATCCTCGTGACCTAGTTACAGAATTCCATGATAAAGTTGTCAAATTTTCCAATTTTATGTCAAATAAGAAAAATGAATCAGTACTAGTATGTTTACAAGCAATTTGTAATAAATAAGAATAAGTTAGTACCAGTTTTTTCCAATGCTGATATTGCACAACGAATTTTTTTAACCCTTTCTATTACTAATTGTAATATAAAGACATTATTTTCGAAAATGGCACATGTTTTAAATAATCTTCGTTTCTAAATACTAGATGGTCGTTTTAATGCTCTTTTTTTATGACACTCTTTAATGGCACTTTAATAACACTTTTACAATGAAGTACTCTCTTACCAAACATAAATTTTGAATGTCGTTATTGACTTTACCAATGTAAAAGCAAGAAAAATTTCTCTGTGAATAAAAAAGTCATTTAATGATTTACTGTATTCGTTTTTGAATATATATTTTTTTAGGAACAGGGCTCCCAAATAATTTTTGCACCCAGCCCCCAAAATCCATAAACTGATCTTGATCTTACACGTTTGCAAATGAAGAGGTATTGGGCTTTAACAATTCCAAAAGTGTTCTCAACTACTTGCTCCACAAGTACTCAACTTCAAGCTCCGCAAAATATCTTATTGTAATTATGGGTTAATGTAGTTTGAAAATAATGGAATAAAGGCAAATTCTGAAAAATATCACTTTATCATTAGTAAGCATAGTTACTATTTTTAATTTAACAATTAAAACATCCGAAATGTTAAATTACTCGGAATAAGACTCCAAACTTTCTTTCGAAGAGCATGTAAACTAACTTTAATGACATTATAAATAATGTCATTAAAATTAGTTATATCGAATAAAATCGAATCGAACCATAAATAGAATCCATGAGGGAGCTTTAAGAATTATCTATGGAGACTATGAATCTCCATTTAAAACTCTCTTACTAAACAGCAGTACTTTAACTATACAACAAAAAAACCTGCATTGTTTAGTCGCTGAGATTTTCAAAGTAAAACTACAAACTGCGCCTACATCTATGAATGAAGTTTTTAAGTTTCTCAAATCAAATCTGAGATATGAAAAGTCAAACTTGAAATCTCTATCGTACCTAGGACCTAAAATTTGGAAACTAATCCCGAATGATTGTAAAACATTTTCAACTTTGTAACAATACCCATGCAAACTATGCGTGGTTTTTATTAAAGTTTTCGGATACACTAACTAAAGTAAAATGTAATCTTTGTATTTTAGTCGGTTTTTGCCACTCTAATTGGCTCTTTTTTTTATTAGTTTATTTACAAGTTATCTAACAGTTTGAATTTATATCGAGATTTATTTTTGAAGGATAAAGCTAAGTCAATTTAAATTAACTAATTAGAGAGCTGTTATGGTAACAACCATATCAGAGACGCATTTATAGTTTTGGCGCCGTAGGGCACTAATTTTTTTAAGCGCCCTCTTTTACAATTATCTAAATACTCTTTGCTATGGAGTGATTATTAAAAAAGACCATGACATTTTTAATACAATCGTATATATTAAATAAAACTCACTTAAAAATAAATATATATATATATATATATATATATATATATATATATATATATATATATATATATATATATATATATATATATATATATATATATATATATATATATATATATATATATATATATATATATATATATATAATTTTCTACGTGAGTTTTGTTTTGCAAAAGGTAATGCCATTATAGTTCGTCAATGGTAAGTGGAGATTCAATAGATAGAAATTGCTAACCTATAAAGACATTCATACCAGTAATACCCGACCTCAAATAAGATTTAAACCTCTTTAATGCTAAAAATGTTCACTCGGTTGAACAATTGTACGTTGGGCAGCATAGATATATTTTTAATGGTATATTTACTTATAGTAGGTATGCATTAAGGATATTATATAATTCTTGAAGTTTATCAGTTCTGATCATTAAACATATATCTATTACAGTTTTAGGTCTTATGTTTTCAGATAAGTTCTGAATTGTATATTCTTGTTAGCCAATGAAGTCGAAAGATCATTTTTCATATATATTTTGATATATTTCTGCTTTTTTGTAAACTTCTGATAGTTTTATTATTTGAAATAAAAAGTTCAACTTTTTATTGGCTTCATCATAACACAACTCTTTTCTTTCTAAGTTAGAATGCAGTTTATCAATAATAGCATAATATCTACTAATCCTTAAAGAGTCTTGAATTTCAAAATTTATTTCTCCTTTTTTTTTTTCATCTGCAGTTAATTTTCTTTTTCTTTTGCGTTTTTTTCGATATGTTTCGTGTCTCGATTTATTAAATGCTCTCCCTCTCTCTCTCTCTCTCTCTCTCTCTCTCTCTCTCTCTCTCTCTCTCTCTCTCTCTCTCTCTCTCTCTCTCTCTCTCTCTAGCGCTCTCTCTCTCTTTCCTCATAGATATCAAAAATACTACTTAGATCTAATACAAATCGAATTAACGATTTGTATAAACTTACAATTGTTTCATAATCAATCTTACTGATAGAAAAATATTTAGCTTTCTTCATTTTTTTCACCATTTGTAGTATAAAAAAAACTGCCATTATACCTATGAACTGCTCGTATATATTAAAAGATAGGTTTAATCCTCTATATATATATATATATATATATATATATATATATATATATATATATATATATATATATATATATATATATATATATATATGTCTGTATATATATATATATATATATATATATATATATATATATATATATATATATATATATATATATATATATATATATATACAGACATATATATATATATATATATATATATATATATATATATATATATATATATGCATATAAAAATGAGTAGACGCCCATATAAGAATGAATAACCCTGTATTTACAGATAAATTTGTATTTCATTGAATTTTTCAGATAATACCTAAAGTTAAATTGTTTTTAATGATTTATTTACTAATAACCTGTATTATGGATTGCTTACTGCTAATACTAATCATTCCTACTTCTTACTAAAACCAGCTAATCCATCCAAGTCCCAAGTAAAACGCCAATTATTCCAACTAAGTTCTAAAATTTGCTTATTCGGCTAATTTGCTTATACGGCTAAATTTGAATACTTTAACTAAATTCCTATTAAAACCTACTAAGTTCTTTGCAATTACTTGTTCGGAACTTAGTAAGTTTTACTAATGCGACTTACTAAGTACTTAATGGGATTAGTTAGGTTTTTTTTTTCGGGTATCACATGTCAATCTATTAACATTATCATACTTCAGCCGGTAGGATTTGCAACCCCAGTTCATGCCTGTCAAGAAGCATAAATCAATCAATAAATAGCGTTCAATATCACACACAATATAAAGAAAAATAACAAACGATTTGTAATGGAATTTGTTGGTATTTATTGAGTTCGCTCTTAATCAGTGGCGTGTTGACCCCAGAGGCTATGCAGGAATTCCGCATTGGCTTAATCTTTTAATCTTAGAAGGGACTTTTGGAGAGAAAAAAAATTATTTTACTATATTCTTTAAATGATCATCGAACCATTCAATTGCTCTGTAAACATGGAATTGAATTGAGACTTTGAGTTAAAAATTTAAGGTTGTTATCTAACCTTTTTAAACGGTCAAAACGTAATTGTGGAAAAAAATCTTTTTCGATTGCTGAAGTTTTACTGGCAAAGACTATTAGGATTTTGAAAATTTGGATTAGAATGAAATTACGAGAAAATAGAAAAGAATTTGCTAAATTTTTTTCTTTTAAACTTTCAAGTTTCAGTACCAACTTAACGCACCCAGCCAGGACCAAATGCCGGCTGGGCAGGTATTTATTAAGTAGCGTCACTATTGAATATCTAAAAGCTAAGATTTTGGCACTTTGGATCTGATTGTCAATTTATTGTTGAAATTTACTTATTAAGTTGTATTTTTTTATTAAAAGAAAAATAAACTTTTAAACTTAGTTTAAAATTTGTTTAGGAGTGGTTAAGCTTCACGAGCTCCTGAAAGTCTCTACGCAAAGTAATTCATCAAAACGGTTCATGATCGCAGCCAGAATATGAGCTTACACAAACGAAATAGTTCAAATGATCAGCAAACTGCTAACAAAACAAGCAAATTCATGCTAGATTATAATTATTGCTCAGAAGCTCGGCAACCTAATTCGCAATTCTATTCATTTAAAATCGAAAAAGAAAAACTTTACCTTTTTAAGCAAATCTTTTTAAAGAGAAAGGACTTGCTATACTTTCCAGTGGGCACTGGACCAAAAAAAGACGTCTTTTAAACGTGCAAAAGACGTCCAAAACGCTCAAAAGACTTTCAAAAGACGGTCAAAACGTCTATAAGACGTTTCAAAGACGTATTTTTTACGTTCGTGTCTACTGGGTTGTATATCCTTTTTATAACTTTTGGCTCGAAAGTTTTATTTTGTTAATAAGATTTATTCTATTATTAAGCAGTTTTTTTTTTTTTTTTTTTTTTTTTTTTTTACAAAAAAACAATTAAGATATTTATTTAAAATATCTAACATTTCGAAGTATGTATGCGTCGTCCGAGAAACGTATGTCGGACGATTAACGGACGTCTGATGTTTAATAAACGTATTTCGGACGACGCATACCCACTGGATTGTTTGATGAAGCATCTAATAACCACAAATTTATTTTGTGAAGAAACAATGATAATAAAAACAAAACCATCATTTTTTAATGGAACTTTCAAATTTAATTACTAATTTTGTAAATATCTTGATATTTCAATTTTTGTTTTATTGTTTTGTTTAAAAAATATATAAAGCAGTTAACGTGTAACGAATATTACTCTAAAATTCGTTAAATTTATCGAGTTTTGTTACAAAACCAACAGCAAAGTTTTAAGCTCTTTTTTAATTTTTTTTTTTTTTTTTTTATTATTATTTTAAGCGTGTTAAATAATTCATAACTGCAAGTTTTAGTTTTTCAGCACTGATATTTCAGAAAGAAAAATTAATAATTCTGATAATCAATACTTATTTGTGCGGAAATATTGAATGTTCTAATTTCAAATCGGAATTCATTTAAACAATTGAAAACTTTGAATATGTAATAAACTTGATTTTGCAATAAAATAAAATTAAAAGTCAAGTGAAATGTGATTTTTTTATATTCTTAGAATAACATGATAAAGATATACGTAGACAATAAAATAACTTTAAAACCTTTCACTTTATAAATGCCGGTTGCATTCTTGCAAATCAAGAAATTTTGAAAATGGATTGCAACTTAAAATGGTTAAACTTTTCTTTTAATTACAATCAAGAAATTATGATATGGATAGTTTTAAATTACTTATTTAATGTAAGAATAACAATTATCAAGTATTATTTAATTAATATTTCCGAAAATAAAAATGTTATATTATTATATTATATTGTAAATTTTGTAATTTTATTATGCTCTTGTCCATTAAAGTGATTTCCGAATTGTTTTGAACGCTAAAAAAATGAAGCCAATTTGAAAAAGTTGTGTAAAGGAAGGGATTTGGGTGGGGGTGGGTGGGGGACAATCAAAAATATGTATTTTTTCCTCTGTAGAGTTTTTTTCTTTTATTAACAATCAAAATAATTACATTAGCTGTTAATGAAATTCTAGCATATAGTTAAGAATATATACTTCTGAATTCTAAGAAGTTTTAAATTAGCAAGGGTTTAAAATATTCTAATTTCTAAACCTTTGATTATGATTAAATTTAGTTATTGACATTAATATTATTTTTTTTTTTTCTTTAATTTTTTATTTTAGGCGCCCCAAGAAGTCCTTACGGTCTTACTACAGAGCACCGCGGATAAGCATTTAATTGGAAGTTCACGCCTCCTTCCTAACCTATGTCGCAAAACTTGCCCAGAGGTGGGGTTTGAACCAAAGCATCATTTGTTTCTGAGGCAAGTGCGCAACCACAGCGCCACGGCTGCTTAAAAAAAACTAAATAAAAAAAAATTAATTAAAAAAACAAACAAAGAGAGCAAAGGAAAATCGCAATACATTTAAAAAATATTTTTTTATATGGAATCAAAACAAGAATGACCTACTCGGGACAATAAAAGATGTAATGGAAACTGTGTCGAAAATCATTTCGTTTGTAAAATACTTTTTAAAACGAGATAAGCCTCCTGGGGAGTCTCTTTTGTTTTTATTGTTGGCGACTTTTTTTTCTTAAAAATTTGTGTTTCTCCACAATCTTTTTTTTCTTCTTTTCCACACTCTACCATCACTTATTTGATTAATGTTGTCAATATAGGATAAGTAGTTTTTATATTTTCAAGTTATAACTAACTAATCACAACATTCAACTTTATTAAGAGTTGTTAAGATTTGCGTTTAATTGGTAACTTTATTAGTAGATACTAATACATTTTTATGTAAATGTAATTGCACGTAAAACGCATTTAATTGTAAATTTGAGGTACATGAAATGTGTAGCTAGTTTGATAAATGTTAAGTTCGTATGCACTTTATCCATTATCAGAGGAAAGTGAGACAAAGGATATTATCTTATTGAGAGTATTGAGACTCAATTTAACAGCTCAATATTTTGATGACTCAACCTCAAGAATAACTCAAATTTGAAAAAACTGTATTTTGATAATAGATAATTAAAAGTTGACAATCAAAAAAATTTTTAAACTGTTTTAAAATCTAATTATAATCTGTTGTAAAATATTTTACTCAAACATTCACGATAAATACTGCCTTAAAAACTACCCACCTACACCAGGCTTAACTAAGAAACTTGTCGCTAAAATAATTTAGTAATCAAACCAGCATTACAAGAAATTTGCGGAAAAAGAAATAAAAATTACTTATAAGTTATTTTTTTTAGTTACCAGCTCACAACAACCATATCATTCAATCTTATAATCACATCTTATTTACTCCATACACATTACACTTTTTCATTCAAAAACTTTGTTGTTTTTTTTAACAAATAACTATGAACTGTTTTTGAAATAAATTTATTTAAAAACATTTTTTTAGGTTGCAAATGCTAAACGCACATGTAGCCATTTAGTAGAAATCTCGACAACAAACGGCAAGCAATCAGTAACTGCAACTTATTAGTAAGAAATTTTTAAATCATATAATAAGTAATGATAACAAAGCATAATTTTAACATTTAAAATTTATGTATTATAAACGTTTAATAACATACCCTAATATTTGTAAAATGCCTTAAATGTCTTTTGTTATCATCACAGTGGGGTGAATTCACATGTGAGGTGAATTCACATGTGAGGCGAATACTCATATTAAAGAAATATTAAAAAGAAAAAAGTTTTTAAATACGTTTTTGTGCAACTTGACTAAAATCAGTTAAAATATCTAGACATTTACACTTTAATAAAACATGAAATATAAATAATTTTACAACAACAAAAACAAAAGAGCTTAAAAAAGTAAGTATTAAGTATTTTAGTACTAGGTTACTTAGGTTACATAACACTTAGGTTACTTAGGTTATATAACACTTAGATTTATACACAATTCACAATACTTAGGTTTGTTTAAAAACAAATCTAATCTGGGCAAAACCGACATTTAACGTATATATAATACATATAACTTTTGCTTGTTATCTGAAATAAATTAAATACATTATTTATGATAACATATTAATTTCAACGTCGTAATTCTGATATAAACGTTAGTGTTACTAAGGTTAGATTTAGTTGGTTAATGCCGCTCAAAATAACCCAACATTAATCCAACATTGGATCGACGTCGTGTGCCCACTGGGCAGCATTACAATTAGAGAACAGTCGCAAACTTTAAATTGATTTTTACAAACGTAAGGAATAAATAATATCATATCATTTACCAACTTTTACATTATACCCGGAAACGCATTTGTAGTTGTTACGTCAGGATGTGGTTAGAAACATGAAAGTTGTACCTTAAAAGCAAAAGATGTAGCTGCAAAAACGTTACTTGTATTTGGAAACTGATCAACAATTGTTAAATTTTGAAAAAAGAGTAGGTCGATGCAACTTAAAAGCGCAACTCGATACTTTAGTATTGAGTATTTAGTTTCAAGTTTTGGTTAAAAATTGTATTCTAGAATTTCAGTTAGTTGAAAAAATTCAGAAACCCGGAGACATATGTGCACATTGATTTGAGCGAGAAATGTTTAATTCTCAGCTGACATCAGCTGTGAAATTTTAGCTGACATCAGCAAAAAAAAATTAAATAAAAAGTCATAAAAAAGAAACTTGAGTTATTGGTGTTAACTGAAAAAATCGGGTTGAGTTTACACAGATGACCCGAAAACCACACAATAAATAATGAATTAAACTTAAATTATTTACAGACAAAAAAATTATTAGATTAAAATTAAGTTTAAACAATGCCGAAATATGTTGTGGTACTAAGTTAAACACCGACTTAGAAGTTTTCAACATTCATCATTGATATTGAGTATTAATTCATATCAATTTTCGGTAGATCTTTTATTCTCACAATCTTAAATTCTTACGAATTCTCAATCATGTATTGAAAATACTCAATTGCGTATCAGGATATTTACGAGTTCTCATTTTTTTTCTTCAAATTTTATGTTTCTCTAATAAATATTACAGTTTTGTAATTACAATTTCAATTTCATAATTACACCTTGCTTAATTAAAAAAATGCTAAATTACACAGAGGAGTAATTAAGAACACTGTCATGATAAATAATGTGGCAACATCATTACCAATACCAGCACTATGCGGTAACCATGATAATCAAATATATATATATATATATATATATATATATATATATATATATATATACATAGTGTTGTGAAAAAGTTAAGAACCACTAAAGAAAAAAAAATTATTTTCAAATAAAATTAATTAATTTTTCTTCTAAAGGTAACAAAATAGTCTTTTTTTTTTCAAACATTAAATAGAACGTGAGAAAAAAGAAAATTTTTTTTTTCGAAAATTAATTAATAGAACCTATAGAAATAAGGATTAAATATTATGTATTAATTTTTTTCAATATTTTTTTTGTGAAAAAGTTAAGAACCACAGGAAATCTTAACTTTTTCACAAGTGCTAAATCCGGTGGAAACGGCTTTTTTTAATTGATTTTTACCTTTTTTAATTAAATATTTTATTAATGACCTGAGTCATTACCTAAAAACCAAAAGTATTAAAAAAAAGTATTTAATTTCAAACAAAAAAAAACTCTCTTATTTTGAAAAAATGAGCAGAAAAGCGATTACCTATGAAGATCGTGCAAAAGTGATGCATTATCACCAGGAAGGTAAAACCGCTCGTGAAATTGGAAGAATAATAAAACGATCAGATAGTTCGGTGCTATCAATCATTTAAAGATTCAGAGAGACGAAATCTTACATTGATCGCCATCGTTCTGGAAGACCGCGTTTGACGACACCCAATGATGATTGTCTTTTAATCAGGTTGGCAAAGAAAAATCGAAATATGTCGTCGCATGAATTAAGAAGGGAATGGAAGCTTTCAAATGGATGCCAAGCATCGGCATCACTTGTGCGTAGGAAACTAATAGCTAACAATATGCTATGGAAAAAAGCTGTTCTAAAACCGAGACTTAACAAACAAAATATAAAAAAGCAAAAAGAATTTTGCCAAAGTGTCAAAGAATGGTCTAAAGAAAAATAGAGGACAGTAATGTTCAGTGATGAGATGAATATCGAGGTTGATAACCGAAAAAACCAAATTATGATTCGCAGGCAGCCTTCCGAAAAATATAATCTTGATTGTATCGTTCAAAGAACAAAATAAGGTAGCGGGTCGGTCGGAATATGGTGCTGCTTGACATATGTCTTGGTATGTTTAAGTTATTTGATAGTCGACTCAACTCTATTTATTATGTTGATATTTTAAATAATAACTTGATACCACCAATTGATGCACTTGAGCAAAGCGTTCAGTTCATGTATGTATAAATATATATATATATATATATATATATATATATATATATATATATATATATATATATATATATATATATATATATATATATATATATATACATATATATATACATATATATATATATATATATATATATATATATATATATATATATATATATATATATATATATATATATATATATATATATATATATATATATATATATATATATATATATATATATATATATATATATATAGTATTGTGAAAAAGTTAAGAACCACCAAAAAAACAAATCATAATTTTTATTTTTTTTTCAAATTTTTATTTAGTCGAATATAATTTTCTGGTAAAAAAATAATAATAATAATTTTTAGGAAATAGACAAACAAAATAGAAAATATATATATATGTATAAATATATAAATATATATGTATATATATATATATATATATATATATATATATATATATATATATATATATATATATATATATATATATATATATATGTATATATATATATACATATATATATATATATATATATATATATATATATATATATATATATATATATATATATATATATATATATATATATATATATATATATAGTTATATATATATATATATATAGTTTTTCATGCTATATTTTTCTATACAATGTTTTTTATATCTAAAGATATTGTTGGCTTAGCATAGGAACAGCCACAAATAGTAATTAAGACTAATACAAAGTAGCGTCCATTAATGACCAACATTTTTGCCTACCGAAGTACTACTCAAGCGCTGAGTTGTTCAACAGTCAGGATTTTAACTTTTTCCTTTGACGCTCTAACCAACTGTATATATATATATATATATATATATATAAATATATATGTGTATATATATATATATATATATATATATATATATATATATATATATATATATATATATATATATATATATATATATATATATATATATATATATATATATATATATATATATATATATATATATAGATATAGATATAGATATATATATATATATATATATATATATATATATATATATATCTATCTATATCTATATATATATATATATATATATATATATATATATATATATATATATATATATATATATATATATATATATATATATATATCTATATCTATATATATATATATATATATATATATATATATATATATATATATATATATATATATATATATATATATATATATATATATATATATATATATATATATATATATATATATATATGTTTATACAGTATCGGACAAAACAAGTCCAACCAAATAATGGTAATTTAGTTTCTTTATATAAAAGTGCTACATTTTTTCAACTTAGAGAAATAACTATGTAACTGTTTAGAGACAACGTTCTTTAAGTTTTATTCATCACAAAGTTCATTATTTGTACACGAAAATAATAATTTAATCAAAAGTATTCCTTTTGGACAAAACAATAATTCCTTTTGGACAAAACAAGTGCAACTCCACAAAATGTTGACCAACCTGTATTTCGCTATCAATATTTTGTGGCAAATCGTTTGTTGTCGATCACAGCCTTGCATAGATTCAATCAGGTGATCAATAAAACTTGGTGGAATCGCTGCTCAAGCCTTTTGGATTTGTTCAAACACATGATATTTATTACGAACACCTTCACGATTAATTCTGCGGTTGACGATCTCCCACAGGTTCTCAATAGAGTTGAGATCCGGAGATTGAGGCGGCCAATCCATCACCGAAAGGTGGTTGTCTTGAAACCACTGCTTGACTACTTTTGCAGTGTGTTTCGGATCGTTGTCTTGCTGAAAAATCCATTTTATTGGCATATTTCATTCAGAATGAGGTAACATAACATCTTTTAGGATATTTTTATACATGAAACGGTCCATTATTCCATCGACTCGATGTATTGGACCTAGAACGTTAGCAGAAAAACACCCCCAGACCATTACATTGCCTCCACCATGCTTCACGGTCTTATGGTAGTAACGTAAATTGAGGCGTTTTCCGACCAGTCGACGTACACGGCAAATGCTAACGCTCCCAATGATGTTGAACTTCATGAACAGTACAGCTCGCCATTTCTGCACATTCCAGTCAATATAAGATGTAGCAAACAGGAGTCTTTTCTTCTGGTTCTTTAGTGAAATCAGCGGTTTCTTTGCAGGGCGTCGAGAACACAATCCGGCTTCAACAGCACGTCTCTGATTGTTTGGTCCGATGCAGGCAGCTCTAATTGCTTTTGTATCTTAACAGATGATATCCAGGGATCCTTCTTGACAGATCTGACGATCATAGAATTCTTTCTAAAAGTGGTGGAACGCGATCTTCCACATTTGTTTTCTGCTGCCAACTTCCCCGTAGAACGATATTCGGAACATAGTCTTGATACGATCTATTTTTTCATGAGATATTTATCACAAATACATTTTGTGACATTCCTCTTACGTAATCGCCAATAATTTTCGTAATAGAAATAATAAAAATAAACAACCACGCTTATCAAGGCTTACTGGTTACATTTACTTTGTGATGATACAATAATGCTCTGTGGAACATACTGTCTTGGTTGGGTGTGGACTGTATTAATGTAATGAAAGACTTGTTGTATTTCACTTCTGAAAGATTCCAGATGCTTCTTTTTGAGGCTTCCGGAAGCTTCTGCATGCTTCTTAATGCTTCTGGATGCTTCCAAATGTTTCTTCTAGAAACTTCTGGAAGCTTCTGCATGCTTCTAGAAATTTCTGGAAACTTCTGGATACTTCCTTTAATTATTGAAAAACTTCCGTGACGTTGACACGGACCAGACTTGGAAAATAAAACAAACCAAAAAAGTTGCATTTGCCTTGTTCGCTGCAAAATGGCGCTTTTCAACGAAATTCTGCCTGTTTGCTGTCACCTGTCAGCTGATTGCTCATGTCATGGCATGCTAAGACTCCAGACTCCTGAACTATTTGCTGTGGTAGTATAGTTCGTTTTGTTTTTAAGACATGTAAAATTAGAAACATTTTTCAGCATTGTTCGATGTTGGTTGCAAATATTTTGTCAAATACTGTACATGTATAATTAATTGCAACTATAATTTCATAAAATTGTGCCTACTCTTTTTAACTAATTATAAATAGTTTATTTAATCAGCGTTGTTGGCCAATTTTGACTTTTAGGCAACGTTGGTTACGTTATTTATACTTATATTATATATAGGATTTTTTATACCATTTGTACGTTATATATGTTGCTTCTGTAAATAACGTAAGATACGTTATCTGAAAAATGCTAAGTCATTTTAATAGGCAATGTTCTACGATATTTGAACACAGACGTTATTCTTTTAAATATTTGTAACATATATAAAAAGTCTCATACGTATTTTAAGATTTTGAACCCTATAGGGCATTTTGATAAGAATAACTCTACGCTTACATTACATAAAACTTAAATAATAATAAATTCATCTTTAAAAATAATTTATATAATAAACTTTCATAAATTTATAATAATTATGAAAATAAGTAACTTTTAAATTATAAATTAAGCTCAAAGTAGACTTGTGATAACACGGTAAAGAATGTATACCTTTTTAGCTACTCTTTATTGCGCTAAATAATTTCAACTAATTAAGTTCTAAAAACGTTTTTGGATTATTTAACTTTACTAAAATTAGGCGTAAAGCCTTATTATGCAATGTAATTTATTTGTTGTAATAATATGTATTTGAATAATTTGTATAATGTATTAATTTGTTGTAAATAATATGTAATATTGTAAATAATAAGTAATGTGTTTTGTAATAATTTGTTGTAAGTAATATGTTGGATGCTTAAAGATAGGTGACAGTATTAAAAACAAATGCATAACATTATAATGTTATGCAATTGTTTTTTAATACTTTCACCTATCTTTAAGCATCCAACACTGTTATTAAAAATAGTTTATTAAGAAATAATGTTTTTCACAAGTATAATTATACTTTAGCTGCATTACAGTTGCATATTGCTGTCAGAGTGGTTGTTGTTACTTGCATAACCTCTGGTATTTCTGGTAGGCACATATATTTGAACAAATACAGTTGAACTTTTATAATACGAATTCATATAAGACAAAAAACCATTTAAATTGAACAAACTCTTCGATCCCTTTTGGGTTTAACATTTAGGATTAAACTCCTACAATAAGATAACTCTTGTAATTATTTTGAACATATTTTGAGACCCTTTGAGGATTCGAATTACATCAGTTTAACTGTATACATACATACATACATACATACATACATACATACATACATACATAAATACATACATACATACATACATACATACATACATACATACATACATACATACATACATACATACACACATACATACATACATACATACATACATACATACATACATACATACATACATACATACATACATACATACATACATACATACATAATGCCGTGTGAAGCCAAAACACTGTAACTTGTAAAAACATTTTAATATTTTAAACTTTACAAACATGGTTTAATGCGAGAGTTACTATATTTTGGATCAGTAATATTTAAAAAAGAAAAGTACATAATTAATGCCCCAGATTATATAAAACCGTGCAGATTTACTGTAAATGCTACATTTAAAAAAAACACTCTAAAACAATTTTTCAAGTTACTGTGTTTTAGCTTTTTACGGAAACATACATACAAATATTAATAAATATTTACCTATTTATAAATTAACGTCAAACTAGCTTATACAACAAATGAGGAAATGAGATAATTGAACGCAAATTTCAAAAATTGTCAACAAAAGTAGTTGCACCAAGTAGCAGAAAAGTAATTGATGTCCAAAATAAAAATTTTAAGTGTTGTATATTGTTGTATGTTATATAAATCATTTTTTTAATGATTACTCCTTTTTATATATATACTATAAGTTTTATTTTATAGTATATATATATATATATATATATATATATATATATATATATATATATATATATATATATCAATTTGTACATATAGGTTTATCTTTATACTCATTATTGTGGTATCCTGCTCTGGCTGTTGTTATTACGCTTACCGAAAAAAGAAAAGTTTAAAAATATGGCAAGCGCCTATGCAAATTGACTTTAGTATGAAAAAGCAACGAGAAATAAGAAATAATTTATCGCACCATACATGAAGTATACTTTTTTAATCATGACATTTTATTTTAAAGAAAAAAAAGCAAGATTTGGTTAGAAGCGAAGACGTTTATACTATGACTACAATTAAGAATCAAATTAAACAATAACTGACAATGATATTAAAATTATTTAACAAATTAAACGGTATTCGACAATGATACTGAAATTGTTTAAGAAATAGTCTAATTTTTGAGTTGCATTTTTATGCTAAATTTAAGATTTGAAGGGATTTTAACACACTGACAAAGAGAGCCAAAATTAAAGTTATTCGTTAGAGAAAACAGACAAATTTAATAAATGCTTTTGCTTTGTATCAATTAATCTACGTATATAATGTTTATTTGGAAACTATTTTTTTAACTGCAAGCCTCTAGGTTAAATATTTAAATCAGACTTGTCTTTATCAGGGTATGGTGTGGAAACCTAAGCATATTTTAAGCTAATTTTGACTTTGAGCAGAGTATATATATAGCAAAAAAATTTCTTTTTTGAAGAAAATCTTAAAATCATGATAAGAGATCATTTTTTGTAAACTACATCAATAAAGGTTTATACATAAATTTTAATGTTGTCTAAGAAGCACCAATTTGAGGTGTAATCTTTGGACCTACATTACCCTGTTTAGTGGGGTAATAAGGTTCTAAGTTAGATTTTTATTTATTTTTAATGAAATATACCAACTAATAGTAAAATATGACTGGTAGAAAAACTAATAGAGTTTAAATTATATTTAAATTATTTGACCAAAAGTTTAAACAATAGTTTATTTCAATAGTTGTATAAAATGCAAAAAAACTTGTTCAAAGCACTAAATAAAAAAAGCAAAATCATTTTTTTTTCTATCTCTGTTAGATAATTTCCAAGGAATGAAGAACATTCTTGTGGTTCAATTTCCATATATTTTTTTTTACTAATTTTCTTAGTAAAAGTATAATTACTCAATAAATTATATAGAATAAATCATATTATAACTCTCCAAATTAAATATATGATATTCAAATTTGAAAAACAAAGTACTTATAAAAAGTCAAAGCATGATGAAATTATGTTTAAGGATGAATTTAAAGCAAAAAGCTCAACTTAAAATTATCTAAAGGTTTTTTTGTATTATAAATTCTTTATCTTAAAAAAATAACATGTTTACATAATATGTACATAATAAAATGACATGTTTACATAATATATATAATAAAAATTCAATGTGCAATTCTTCAAAACTGCCACGCCGCGTTATTTACTAGTTTTAATTCAAAACATAATATCATTACATCTTTAATAATCATCTAAATGAATCCATAGCAACATGACTCCAAAAACATGAATCCATGAACCTATTCAGACTTCTAATTTATACTAATTTTCATTTTGAAGATATTTATATTTGTATAAGCATTGGGTTCTTAACGGTAGGGTCATCCCGAGGGTTGGCGTAGGGGTGTCTAGCCCCCCTACGAATTTTTTTGGTGGGCAAATTGGAACTGAAGTCAGCAAAATTGAATCTATAGTTGAAAGTCGGCAAATATTGGAAAACGAGGACCTTTATTTTTTTTTTTTTTAGATAAGTTAGCGATTAAAAAAAAATTTTTTTGGCTTCAGTCGGCAAAAAACAGACATAAAACCCCCTCCTTTAAAATCTCTTCGGGATGGCCCTGCTTAACGGCACAAAACAGATCGACATATAGATGCACATTACCCCACCCAACAAAGTTGCTTATTTCAAAAAAACTATGCATCATTCTTAAATTTTTTAAAAACTAATTGAACCTAATTCATTGTCTTAGAGCTAGATAAAACATTTTCTAAGTGTTGGACCTCTTTTTTCATATACTTCTTTTGAAGTTTAAAGTTTTCTATAAGATTCTCTCTTTAAGTTTGTGCGCCATTTTGAATAAAAAGTTACTTAAGAATTCGCCTATTAAGCTGATAATTAAAACTTAGAGAACTATTTTAACCACCTATAAGATACAGAAAAAAATAGCTTCTACCTAAAGCCTTCTGAAAAACTGATATATGTTGATTAGACCCACATTACCCCACACTACTTTACATTTTCACCTAAACACCGAATAATCAATCTAAAGGTAAAACAACATGCTATTAAAATAGTTATTAGGGTTATTTCATAAAGTTAGTAAAAAGCACGTCTCCCACGATTTATAGCACTTAATGACAGCTAAACGACGCCGCACAGTATGTCATTTTAGAATCCTAGAAAGGAAAAATTTTCAATGCGAAAATCATCTATAATTTTGTTTATTTCAGCACAATTATGGGCATAGAAATCATAAAATGAAAAATAATAAAAATCAAATGAGTAAATCAAGAATTTACTGATTTTATGAAGAAAAAAAAACTTGACGTAAAAACTTTTGTTGAAAATTGTTAATAAAAAAATACAATTTTAATTAAATGAAATGAATTACTCAATTAATCAAGATCGCTGGCAATGAATGATTCTTCAAATGATGTCCTCAGATGTATCCATAGAATCTTTATTTTCTAAAACTGTCTCAATTTGCTTGCGTTCTAATAATCTGAACAATTATCTGAACAATAATCTGAACAAAAAAAAAAATATTATCCATTTTAGGCTTATTAGTTTGTAGGCATGCTCTTGCTATAACCGAATCTATAGTAATCAAAGGTTGGTTTAAAAAATCCTTATTTGTGTTTTTTTATCATGTTCTCCTCTTAAATTGTTCCTTAAACTGTCTCTTGCGTTTATTTTGAGCCTCTTGAGCCTTTCAAATATTATCCAGTACTTCTCTGCCATTAAGCAAAATTTTATGAAGGCTAACAGGCACAAGATACCATACATATTATTCAATGTATAGGTCTCAAGTTTCTCTTGCGTAGATTTCAAGTTTATCCAAATTGATTTTATGAAATTAGTTTATAAATTCTAGAATAATTTTCAAGCGCTTAAATAAATTCAAGTGCTCTTCTATTATCTCAGCTGACTTCGCAGCATTCCTGAAAAATTTTTCGAGTAGAGTTTCTATCGTTTGTATTTCCATTTTGCTCTTTGGATACATCAATTATATGACCCAATTCATCTTCAAATCTACCATGGATTTCTTTCTTTTTTCTTTTTAACCTGTCTTTATTTTCATTCCCTCTTGTTTGCCATTTTTTAGTTTCTAAGCGGTTTGAAATGTAAGAGATGTTTAAAGATATTTAAGAGATATTTAAAAAATGCGTTTGTGTCAATCCAAATAAAAATAAAAACTTAATTGAGTTTTTTTATTCAAAATGTGTTTGTATTATTCATTTTAGTAGGTTTTGCCCCATATAAAAAGCAGCATTGTGCGGAAGAACACGATGACATTGTATTGTATTGCAATGCATTGTAAATTTTTCTACCTATCATGCAAAATATCATCTTTGGTATTATTGTTATTTCAAGATCTGCGAAAGATACGTTGATGGGAAAAAGCATTTCAGTATGCTATTTTATATATTAACTTCTTTAGAAATTAAATCTGTTGATTCCATCTTGAAAACTAGTTTTATGGCTTGACTATAGGTAGTATGATGTATCCAGTAAGAGTTTTGGTATCGTCTATATCACAGAAGGTTTGTATTGTTACCATAGAAGTACTGCCAAACTTTCATTGGTTAAATTTTTCTCCTTAAAACTCTGTTTATGTTGCTTCTGCTGTGACTCGTCGCATTCCTACTTAATAATAAAACCATATTTTTTATCTTTCAAGTCAAATTCAAGAAATATGCTTTATGTATACTTCTTGAATTTGATCAAAGTGAAAAATTGTGTAATCAATGAGAGCTTGTAGAGGTACCTTTACAGATGATTCTGTTTTTACAACTTTTTGAGGATAACATAACAACTTGTCCTCTTTAACTCTGTGGTACAAAGAATATAGTTTCCAACTTAAGGTATTAGTTTGCTCGTGAATTTGCTGGTACTGACAAGTGGACAGATTAGCATTAGCTATTAGTATTAGTACTTTTACTGCCAACTTTTGTGTCTTTACAATAATTGCATATTGTTTCAGAGATGAATTCGAAATTTTGTTTAACAATCGAAGCTAAGTCCTTTTTTCCTTCTTTCCTCAGCTGTTATGGCGATTGTTGTAGCCATACTTAGCCCTTGGCTACCTAACTCAAGGTGGTTCATACCCTTAAAAAAAAATATTTCAAAGAAAACTAGTTATTTTAAGTGCTTTTTTAGTTTAACCGATACAAATCAATATAAAATTTCATCAAAATAAAAAATAAAAAAAGGTATATATTTTTGCCTCCTTTATTCATTCGTTTATGCTTAAAAAGACGAAATTTAACGATTAAGCAACTTAAGTACTTGCTTTTCGAACCTAAAATCTTCACGCTATCATTATTAGGTAGTTACACAGAAGTTGAAGTAAATTTTTGGCTTTTTTTACAAAATGTGTAGGGGTGTATACAAAAAATGCTATTAAATCTATATATTTGAAAACTTAGCCTTGGTTCTGCTTCAACTCTTTCCCAAAACCACTACAGTTATACATTGAAAATTTGAAAATATTTGGGCTATCAAATCGAAAGATATTTAAAATATAAAAGTGAAAATAATTAAAAAAAGAAAATAGGTAAAAACTAGAAAACAAAGAAAAAAATGCAATAAAACAATTAATAAGCCCCAGTTGCATAGGCTGGTAAAGTTTCACTTTGTTTTTCCTCACTCACAAATCCTTTCCTAAATGCTCTCAGTTTCTTTTCTAAGTTCCCTTTTTAAGGCATTTTTTATTTAATAATGTTATCTTTTAATTGTCCATTTTTGTAGTATTATTATAATAAAAATTTTTTTGGAAGGTATTCAGTGTGTTGGTTACCACAGAACTTTCTTTTATGTTTTGAAAGAGTTGATCTAGGCATACTTTAATTAATTTCTTCTAAAATTAAACACCCCTGATTTATTTTTATTTGGAATATATAACAACAATAGCTATAAACAAATGACAATCACTTGGGAAATGTAAAGACTGGAAATTAAACAACTCTAATTTCACGTAGCAAAAAATGGTACTTTAAAGTATGGATTTTAAATAAGTATTTTCTTGCTTTTTCAGCTTCAATAACATGCAAGTTTTTAAGCTTGTAATAAAATTTATTTTGAAATTAAAGAGTCATTACTATGGTGTTGCTAAGGGGGTGATTTTTATAGGGTTGCATAAAAATAAATTTTAGTCAACA